ACTTCAACTAGGGTAGCGTGTTTGTATTCAACACGTATAGTGTCGTGTCATTAGTGACCAACACTTCTCAGCATTGTACCATCACTACCATGGTCATTTTTCTTTTTTTATCATAAATATTATATATTTTAAAGTCAAGTTATTAAATAACAAAGAGGTACTCTTATTGAACATATTTTTAAATAGGGTGTAGTGTTTGTGTTCAACACATGTCGTGTCATTAAATACCAACACTTCTTGACGTTGTACCATGGTCATTTTTCTTTCTTTATCAAAAATATTATATATTTTTAAGTCAAGTTATTAAATAACAAAGAGGTACTCTTATTGAACATATTTTTAAATAGGGTGTAGTGTTTGTGTTCAACACGTCGTGTCATTAAATACCAACACTTCTTGACGTTGTACCATGGTCATTTTTCTTTCTTTATCAAAAATATTATATATTTTTAAATCAAATTATTATTAAATAAAAAATAGGTATTCGTATTGATCAGATTTCAAGCAAAAAAATCAATCAATAACAAGTATAAAACTAAATTTATATTATATAATAAAGAATTTTAAATAATTAATTAACTTGTCGAGTCAATATTTTTTTGAAAAATCATGCATCTGACCGTTGTATTGGATACATGTATCCTTGTCGGTGCATCATATTCATAGGATGTTAAATTGATAAGCTGGTGATTCATTTTGTGTTGGGGGAGGGGGGGGGACAATTTATATAGTTAACCTGAAATATACTGAGGATAACGTTTTCTAATTTATTTGAGTTCACTTTTCTTTTGATTTACCACTGTACTTCTCATTATGTCTCCTATAATGTAAAATGACTTGGTTAGTGACACCTGCCGTGAGCGAAAGAGGCACCAGTTGGTGTGTTGCATCTCACTAGTATCCTGTATCCTTTATTCTGCACTTAATTTAGATTGGCTACTGTGAAAAAAGTCTTGCTCCAAACACTCACTCCCTGATTTCACACATATAAAACTAATGAAATAGCTCAAATAAAATAGAAGTTGGAAGCCAGGAAACATTTTCCTTCTTCTTTTGCAATATAGAATAAAGTTTCGAAATAAAATTATAATAATATCATGGCTCATGAGCTAATGAAATGCACCATGCATCACATTTTCATGTTCTCAACTGACTATGAACCAAAGTTAAGCAAGCACTATCAGTGTGTATCATCTTACATTTTACCCATTATTTTTCTGGAATTAGTACTATCAGTGAAGGTATTTACTGTTACATGTTTATGAAGCAAAAATTTACCTCGCCCACTTACATAATGAGGTGTATAACTGGAATCTCGAAACTTCAGGGTAGATTATGTCCAGGTACCATAACCAATGCATTTTAACTGACAATGACATAGGGAGATGGTAAACTATCTTGGATTATGCTATTTGTACGTAAAAATGGTACATAAGAGGTTACATAAAATGATATAGAAAGAAAAGATTGGATGAAAAGTTGACTGTGTTTTAAACTGGCAAATGATAAAGTGATGTGGAATTATATTGAGTTCCACTAATCATTGTCTATCTCTTTTAAAGATGCGTTTTAACTTTATTACACAACGTGATCGTGGCAAAGAGAGGGTAAATTATTCTCGAGTTTCATTAACCATTATCTATCTCTTTTAAAGATGCATTTTAACTTTATTTCACAACATGACTATGTGAACCAGCGTAGTCAATCACTACCAAATCCACAATTAAGATTGAGATCGTCCCTAAGAAAGCCAAAACAAGGTTGTGGATTAAATTCAATAAAATTGGAACCAAGCAACCCGAATCGTCGACGATGTACGGACTTCTTGATTACGCAAAATTATATTAATCACACCCAATTGATTTGAACGTCACAAGGTTTGAATCTTGATAAGTTCGTAGATTGTTCGATTGAAGAACACAAGAAGAAAGCAATAAAAGCCTCTCGATTGATAATAATGTCAAGAGTTGCAAAACAATGAAATATGAAAAATATTTATACTATACCAAAAAACCTAGACAAAAAAAAGAAGCACAATCTTTTATATATGGTAGGAAATTGAATAAATATAGAATTCTATCAATGATGGAAAATCTCGCGAAAGGCAAAAAAGCGTCCAACTTTACGATCTAGTCCCATCTTCGACCGCGTGTAACGTGTTGATCCAATTCACCTCGACTTTTGACCCGAACACGAAACTTATCCCATTTTGAGTCCCGAACATAATTTCATCAATGGTCGCCTTGACGAGCAATAGTGATGGCAATTTACTCCGCCCCGCTCAGGTGTCGCCCCGCCCCAAATGGGGCAAAAAAACCCGCCCCGTGGCGAGGCGTGGGGCGGGACGTAAATGGTTGCCCCGTCGCGGGGCGCGGGGCGGGGTGAGGATGCCCCGCCCGGAACCCGCCCCGTGAAGAAAAAGTAAAAAATAAAAATTAAAAATAATTTTATTTCTAAACAATTCATCCGTTAAAAACTCATTTTAAATTTGTATTTTATTATCTAATAATAATATAATTCGAAATTTTTAAAATGTAAAAAATAAAAAATAAATTAAACGGGGCAACAAATAGGGCAAAAAGTTGCCCCGTCCCCGCCCCGTCTCGTCTAAGGCGGGGCACGGGCCGCACCCCCGCCCCGAACCCGTCCCGTTGCCATCACTAACAAGCAATCCCATTGCCTTTTTTACTCGCTTTGCCTTCGATCTCGTCATCGGTCCACCGTCGACTATCAATAGATCTTTCCCTGGGGTTGACGTTGGACTTGACTTCGACGATTGCGTATCCTGGATTACATCGATGACAATGACACAGAGAGCATAAATTGTCCCCCAAGTCTCATAACCATTATTTATCTCTTTTAAATATGCATTTTAACTTTATTCCACAACATGATAATGATATTGAAATAGGGTAAATTATTCTCGGGCCGGGTCGGGTTTGGGTAAAAACCGGCCCAGCCCATTGCCCACCCCTATATATTTGGTTGGGTGTTCATGCAGGATAGATTTAAGTTTTCCAGTAATTATAGGCATAAAAATTGATAATTAATATTCTTATATGCTTTTGTGATGGCCACAGCTGTTCAGGATAGAGATCACAAATTCCTGACTAGAGCAGTTGAAGAAGCTTACAGAGGGGTGGAATCTGGGGATGGAGGTCCGTTTGGTGCAGTTGTTGTTCGTGATGATGAAGTAGTTGTAAGCTGTCACAATATGGTCTTGAAGCACACGGATCCTACTGCCCATGCTGAGGTTACAGCAATTAGAGAGGTTAGAATTGCTGCCATGTTGCTGTAATATGTCTCTAGATATTTATTAACACATTTTCCGGAGAGTGTTGGAACTAAAGGTTTATTGTCTGGTTTATTTTGCATATATCTTTTGGCATTTATCTTATTGCAACTCTTTTGCTGTCTTGATTGATTTCTAGAGTTTATGCTGTACATAATTCAATAATCATGTGTTCCTTTTTTTTGAAACTGAATTATGCTCATAATCATAGTTAAATATTGGCTTTCAGGCATGTAAAAAGTTCAACAAAATCGAGCTCTCAGACTCTGAGATATATGCATCTTGTGAGCCATGTCCCATGTGCTTTGGCGCCATCCATCTTTCCAGAATTAAGGTTCTTTGATCTATTTGTTTCTTCTTTTCGACCTATTTCTCTTACTCTTTAAGCATGTGTTTCAGCATTAAACAGATATCCTGGTTTATTTATGCTCCATTCACCCCCCCCCCCCCCCCCCCCCCCCCCCCCCCCCTCATATTATTTTTTCCTCTTTGAACGTGTTTGATATGTTAAAGTAGATAATATTGAATACGATAACGAACATGGTGGTTAATATCACACGGTTCAATTCTTCTTTAGTTATCTGGTTTGAGAAAATGTCTCATTTTTCATCTTTCTTCCCCTCGACTACTTGATATTATATAGATAACGAAAAAGATAAAGAAAAGAGTAGCTAAAATTATGAAAATTAGAAAATAAATAAATAATGAAAAGGGTAATGAAAGTATTTTAATAAGAAAATCCATAATAATTTGGTGTATTTGTACATGTTCGAAATCGGAATAAGTATGGCACGAAACCGTATCTCGCCCTGCATATGATGAATTGGAAGGGATAAAAATGATTATTCTTCAACTATTTTATTATTTTCTGTGAAGAATTCTAACAAAGAAAATTGAATTGTCAATATTGTTGCATTTTGGAAGGCAATGGAGTGAAGCAAGTATATCCGCCGAATGTTTTAAATACAATTTATCTTGCAATCTCAAATTGGACAATAAATTTTTATTGCGCCAAAGACATTGCAAAATATTTTAACATTGTACAATCCAAGCCATGGATCACATGAGTTGATATTTGCCAACTACATTTGGCAGTCAACTTTAAAATTTGACATCTCATTATTAAATTTGAAGTGGTCAATAATATCATTTCAAATTTGATATCATGTTACCGTTGACCATTCTGAACTAATGCATTGAAGTGTCAAATTTTAATTAAAAAAATTTTTAATTTATAATAATAATAATAATAAAAAGTAACTCTGAAAAACATGATCCCTGAGCATTTGTAAATGGAGAAGATGGGAAACTAAGACCAGCGACACAGAGAATAAACATAGATTACCGATCCTTGTTAAAGGAACACGAGATTTCCATTCTAGAACGGGAGATGCTATATGTACCAATTCATTTACCAAATGGAAGATCGAATTGACAAGTATCGCGCTCTTATTGGAGTGGACAATTCGATCAAAAATTAGGTAAGACATTTGGTACAAATAGATTATTCCTTCTAGAATAGATCATTTACAACATTATCGAGAATCTTTTTGATGTTTGCAATCCGAATCAATCCAGAATTTTTAAGTGCTTTACAAAAGTAAAATTAGAACCAACTAATTACTAATTTACAAAGTAAACGAGATCGTAACCTCAGAAGAAAATTTCAAAATATTGTAAGAATGAAATTAATCTCCAAATCCAAGTTGGACCCACAAAATTATCGTACGAAAGAGATTTCAACCTTGTGGAGTATAAAGCTAACGAGATAATGGTGTACTAGAAACAAAGTCTACTACTCAAAACTTCAACAATTTCCTATTTCATGATAGATAACATAACCACAATGTTAACTGTGGTAATTCCATTCCATTAACAGAATTGATCCTACAAATCAAGTTCTCGAATAAGCATTTCCTCACTTCATATCTCTGGTTATGTTTTGATTTATCGCGAATTTTACTTGCACTGAGTTTTCGCATAGAGATAACAATGCACCGAACAGAAAGAAAGGATTAAAAAAAAAAAAAAAGTACAGAACCCATTCAAAATATTGAGAAGAGTTTCACAAGAAAAAGCGAGTGGAGGCTAAGTCTGAACCAGCATCATTACTACACCTGAATGAGCGTCACAGATCTCTACATCACCAAAGGTTTATAACTCTGCTCATAAAGGGAAGGGAAGACATGATTTAAACAGAATGAGCATGATGTGGTAGCCAACTTGATACCAAAATGCAAACCATCTTATGAGATCTGAAAGGCTATACATAATTTACTTAAACCAAATAGGCGGATCGAATCGCTTTGGTTCTCATTGGTCCCATGTACTGAATCAGGTTCCATTTGTAGCCATTATGCTAATAATCAAAATCACCAATCTACCTCCGTCGCCACTTCTGACTTAGTAATCCAAGAACGCGGATCGGATCTTCATTTCACTTCTTTCAGGAACAGAACCCTTGATTCTACAGACACGCATAGTGGATAAATATAAATATTTCCATGTATCCATCTACAACTAGACAATTCATACGAATAAGAGAGCTGGGAAAAACCACGTAATAGCATAATTTGTTTCCAATAGTGTATATGCCATTTGATTCTGACCAGGCAACCCAATATTTCATCGGAACTTGTAGCCATCCTCACAGACCATTGGTTTGTCCATATAGAAACTCTTCCAAGTATCTTATGCAATTCAGCTTCACTACCAGATCAGGTCACTTCGTGCTCTCAGCTTGGAGCTGGTAAAGTGGAATCACCGAAGAGCAACAGGCTTATGCAACTCCATACAATTTCCAATCAGAGCCGGATGTTTCAATTGTCAGATCTTAAATATATGCAATTAAGCATCCTTGTGAGATTTTCATATTCTCCAAAAAAAAATGAAGAGTTAAATATTCAGTATCAATCAAGACGATGATTACACCATAAAACTCCAAGTATGAAGAGAGATGACTCCAAATATCAGCAGTTACATCCAACAGCACTGTTTGCAGAGAGTAAAAAGAGCGCGAAAAAGGAAAAATGACCAAAGCATAATTTGAAGAACAGATAGCAATTATAGCATATAATTATCTAGGTAAACTACTAGTCCATGTCAATTCCGATGTACATATCAAACAATATCCCTCACAGATTTGGGGAGACATGCAACCCATCAAAGGCCTAAAGATTAGAAGTATTATTCAGCAATCCAAATTAAAAATCTAAACAGAATTTGCACTTTCTCATTTATCAAAGACAAATGAATAAATATACTACTAACCCAGGAGTCAAGAAAATTAAAGAGCCAGCCAGCAAACACTTCTACCCAAGATAGCTGTCCATTAACTCCCCATGGACCTGAGCTCCTCCAACTGTGCTTTAATCTGATCCTGCACCAACTCCAACCTCTTTGAAAACACCTCCAATTCCAATATCTGCTGCTTCCTCCATTTCTCATCAATGAACCTCTCCCCACCTGTCACTCCACTAAAACCCAAAGGCATGGGACTCAAAGCCAACCCAAACCCACGGTGTCCATACAATCCATTCCCATTCAAATTCATTGAATTTCCCAACAACTCCTTGAAAAAGGGCGACAAACAGCTCCTCACGGTCTCCTCAATCACGTTAGTTATTGATGCTGGCATCCCCATGCCTATCGGAGTAGCCATTGGGGTGACCACACCCAATCCTACCGATGGTTGATTAATTTGAGTACTACTGGTAAAGGCATGCTGTTTTTCCTCGACTTTCACAGCTCCAGCTCGGTTTCGCTTCCTGGATCGGGGTGTCTTGCTATTTCCATCGAAGCCATTGGGGTTGTTCGGGTTAGGGCTTTGGTTGCCAACAAAATTAGAGTTGTTAGGATCATTATCGTCAAACCTGACCTCATCTATCGGGGCAGCACGAATGATGGAGCCGTTGACTCCAACACTGTCGCCCCAGATTTTACTGGAGATTTCAAAGGTGGCCTGATCGTGGGGACTCTTGAAGGCGTGATCTTTGCCGGAACCAGATTTACTGATGACGTTTCGATACTTCTTCTTGAGCCTCCTCAGCTTTTCCACAAGCTGATTCTTATTGAAATCAAGCTGCAGCTTATCCTTGATCTGGTCATAAAACGCCGTCGTATCATGGTGGTGCGATGAACTCTGTGGCCCACGCTGAGTAGTATACTCCAGAAACCCCTGCAACAGCTCGATTTCATCCTCATCAGTCCAAAGACGCTGAAACAGCTTTCGTGACTCGTCGGGGAAGGCAATAGCCTGAGGCTTCCTGGTGACGCCAGTTATGACGTCATCAGGATTATTATGCTGCTGCTGTTGTTGGTGGTGATGATGCTGGTTGACACGAAAATCCGGTACATCAGCGACGGCAACGGTGACTTGAGCGGCGGAAATGGAAACAGGAGGCCGATCCACAACAGACGCATTAGCGGGAGAAGAGGATGCGGAATCCTCATCGACGTCGACGTCAGCCTCCAGGTAGACATCTTCGCCGTGATCAGAGCTGTCGTCATCATCTTCATCATCGAGAAGGTCTTCATCTTCGTTGTAGAGAGCGTTATCGGGGTCTTGGGCGGAGGCCATGGGAGCGGTGGAGGGCCGGAGCGCGAATCGATTGTGATTAGGGTTGGGGCCAGATGCGGGGTTGTGGTTAGGTAAGGGGCTTAGGTAGGGGGAAGTGAATGGGTTCATAAATTGAATCTTTATTGGTTGCGTGTTAGGCTGGCCAAGAGCGGGCAATGGTTCACCACGTGCCGCTGGATGGATAACCAATCTCCTACATACTAAGCCCCCTGTTTGAGCCTATCTTTTGGAAAATAAATGTATTTTTAATTAGTAATTTGATATCATTTCAATAACACATTTATTCAGTTTTGCTGCTTCTATTTTGAGCCATTTGGACATGACTTTGGAGAGTTGGAAGTTGCTTTGAAGCTCATTTTATTAATTATATAAAAGTGTTTCTTTTAATTAAAAGAAATTTTAGGAAAAATTGGTTCAATGTGACTTTCTATTTAATTTTCTTTCTTTCTTGTTTTTAAGATAAAGCTTGTTCAGAAGAAATAAAAATAAAAGTAAAAGTTATATCAAATGGAACTAAAGTTACAATTCTTTTTTTTTTTTTATATCCAGGTATCTCAACTTACACTAAACTAAATCCTGGACCCTCAAGACCCTTGCCCCTAGAACCTTGGAGGGGGTAAATCGCGGGTTATGCCACAACTGGATCACAGATTCCCCCCACCACCTGTACACTTCTGCGCACAAGAGATCCTCCTCCAAATTGATTGCTCCATAAAAGTTACAATTCTTTATTTGAATTCAAGTATTGTGTGATATGTGCTAAATTGGATGGTTCCAAAGCTAGCTAAGATCAAATATAAGTCAAGGTTGATAAAGGATTTTTTTGAGAATATAAGTTGGTCAAATTTCACTTTTAGTTACATGTTTAATTGGATTCACTATTTTTAACCCTCGTTCGACAGCTATTATTTCAAAAAATAATAATGATGATGATAAATTACATATTCATTTTTAGCACCCTGTTTGAACCACATTATTATAAAAATGAAAATGAAAAATATAGTTGTTATGAGTCCTACACAGAAGATAAAAAATCAAATATGATGGTTTGATGTGATAGATGACGATTATATTTTTCATTTTAATAAAGAAATAATAGGGCTCAAACAGAGGCTTAATCATATTCACTCAATAAAATATTCTACACATAAATTTAAAACTTTCTTTACTTTTTAACTACACATTTTCCAAAAAATCACTAATTTAAAACTTCATTTTTCCAAAATAATGATTATCAAATGGGACTTATTCACTTTATTACCACACATTTACGAAACACATCACTGCTCGACATCAGTTATTTTGATTGAGAATGTGTAGTTAAAAAAATAAGAAAATATTTTGGGTTGCACATAATATTATTTTATTAAAGAATATATGGTTGAAAATAAAAGAAAGAAAAATATATTTTGAAAATAATAGAGACTGAATAAAGGATTTTTGCATTTTGAAAATAATGGGGACCAGAAATGCATTTAGAAAATTAAAATTAAAAGGAAGAGAAAATTACTATAAATTGACATATAGGGGTGTTTGAGCCACATTATTTTGATAATAATGAAGTCTTGAATAGTGTATTGATGAGAAATGTGTGGTTAAAAAATAAAAAAAAAAAATTTGATTTACATGTAATATTATTTTATCGAAAAATATGTAATTGAAATAATATCGAATCACTATTTAAAAATACATTTTTTTAAATAATGTGGTTCAAACAGGCAAAATCCATTTTTGCATTATTCAAACTTAAAACTACGCCTTATCCTTCCTCCCCAATCCCCATTCACAAGGCATGTGCTCTTCTATTTGATGATCCCTTTTGATTTCCTGAATCAGTTAGAACCACACAGAATCAGACCAAACAAAACCGAATCACAAATTCTTTTACTTTGAAGAAAAAAAAAATTCAAGAAAAACTGAAGAACACAACAAAATCCTTCAATGGCGTCAGCAATAACGAGATCCTTCTTTACTTTCAATCTTTCCAAATCTCCTTCCTCTATGCGTAAACTTGAACCACCGCTAACATTCCTCAAATTTGAGCCCATTTCGTGCAGACCCCCAAAGCCCATTTACACTGTCGTTAAGTCAATTGATGTCTTCAAAGAAGACAAACAACCAATTTCAGAAACAACCCAGGACGCAGAAACAGAGGAATCGGAGGTGAAATTCGATAAAAGAAGGCTAGAGGAGAAATTTGCGGTGGTAAATACGGGAATATATGACTGTAGATCTTGTGGGTTTAGATACGATCAAGCTACAGGGGACCCTTCCTATCCAATTCCACCTGGGCTTCCTTTTGATAAGCTCCCTGAGGACTGGAGGTGCCCAACTTGTGGAGCTTCCAAGGGTTTCTTCGAGAGTAAGAGTGTGGAGATTGCGGGTTTTGCTCAGAATCAGCAATTTGGACTTGGTGGTAATGCACTAACTTCTGGCCAAAAGGCTGTGCTTATATATGGTGGTTTGTTTCTGGGATTTGTTTTCTTCTTGTCTGGTTATTTTCTTCAATAATCAATTACCTGTTGAAATATATTGAAATTTGGTAGAGTTTGATAGTAGTTTAAGAACACTCTTTCCCACCCCAAAACAGAGTTATTCATCTTTCGAGCAGTAAAATTTTTTATTATTATTTTTTTTTTTTTGTGAATGGAGATCTGTATTATTAGCTTACATGAGATATATGTTTTGATTACTCTGCTCTTTTGAGACTTACTCGGAGATGTTTTAGTTCAAGTTTGGTATGCAAAACTAGAGAATAGGCTATACATTATCATCACGAATAAGATTCTTACTTTTCCTTCTTTCTCAATATTATCCATTTGTTATGCAATCTTCCCCACCAAACACGCCATAAGCATTTGTATTGTTATTATCATATAGTATTCGACCTTGTTAAAGAAGAAGGGCCAGTAGAATCGTGTCTATTTATACTATCAGTACCGTGTGTAATATTGTGTATCAAACACACTCCAAGGGCCAAGTCTGATAATTGTGTACTTGGAAATGTTATTCTCTGCAAGTTAAATTTGAAAATCTGTGGCTATTTCTCGTAAAAATTTGTCTAGGTAGAATTTTGGGACAAAATGATCAACGTTGCCTTCTCATATGCACAAAGATTAGGACTGGTGCTGCAGCAGTAGTAGATAATATTTTCCATGTCATCTTTTATGAGATGCATCTAGGATTATTATCTTCATTGTCTTACAATATATTTTTTGATTCTTTCCAATTATAAATTGAACTGTCCAAACTCAGATGAGCATCCATATCTCAGTGTCTTATTTGCTCTCATGTAACCTTGTGGTTATCAAAAAAGTGGACAAAGGAGAGAAATTTCTCAATACCCACCTTCTTGTTGGTTTTGCTTAACTTATAATCGGGCTTAGTTGGTGTATTTGGGAGAGACAAGTTTCACTCGAATACATATGTATGTCATTTGATGAGAATCTTCCAATTCTAGATAGGGTTCATATATGCTTGAAAACATTCTAAATAAGCTCTTGATAAAGGTTGTTGCGACATGCGAAGCAGAACAAAACACTCAGGGTGGGTGTGATTGTAAGAATCAAATTTGCATGAAAAGAATAATAAATTATAGGAAATTAAATTGTTTGATTGACTTAATTTTCAATCTCGAAAATGTTGTATTTTCCATAGAGTTTGGTTTTTGGGAAGTATGAATTACTTGGAAAATAAAAATCTACCTTACCTCGTAAAGAAAATGTTTTCCTTGTTTTTAAGGAAAACATGTTTTGGGAAATATTATTTATGAAAAAAAATGTCAATTGAACCCCAAAAATCTACTTTTGGGTGGAAAAAAGACGCTTTTACTATAATTTTACCATAAGTATTATGTCACTGTTGTTTGAATTTCGTCAAGCGATGAAACATTAGGCACTCCCATATCTATATGGTACAAAGAATTTCAATAATAATTTACATGGCCAACGAAATTATTCATCAAAGACATATTCAACTCAACGCTCTAAAAAAGTGGTAATTGCTCTGCACTTGCCGATACTTTTATCGAAGCTTCGTCTTAGTCTTCAACGAGTTTAAATTCGTCTAAATGACAATATTATACATAACAAATTTGATATTATTCTAAAGTCGCTTAAACCAATTATTGAATTTTGTTTTTTCCTCCACTTCATAGTCTCTCTTGAAATGGGAAATGTTGTGTTTTGACTGTGTTTTAAAATAAATAAAGTTTTCTTAATATAAGTTAGTTATTTTAAAAGGTCATTCTAACATTATTATCAAAATAAGTAATTTTTTAATTTACTTACAAATAAGAATAACCTACCCTAACTTTTTATGAAAACAAGATTTCACTTGAAAATAAATTTAAACTTAGCCAAACATCCCCACAAGTTTTTTCTCGTAGAACATACAATTGGAAAATAAGCCTTCTTGAGGTCACAATTTTCTTGATACAAACATCTGATCAAAATCTCCACAAATAAGAAACGAAACACTATCATAGGCATGCAGCACCATGCTTACTTGGACAGAATTAAACTAGACAACCCCCACAATCCAACACCGCTGTCACCTGCAAAATATTAAAGTAAACCAAACGATGGAAAACAATTTTACGGTAAATATTTCGCACCAAAACACATGGAATCTTAAAAATGTAAAATTCTTGACAAGAAAAGGGAAAGAAGGAAACAATAAGGAACCGGTGTTACACAGTTTCCAAGAAAAGTTCACCAACATTACATGAATAGATTTTGCAACAATGAGTCTGTATATAAAACGTGTGGACCCAAAAACATAGAAATTCACATCCCTGAAAAGTCTGCGCTGCATAATTGCAAATAATATAGCCCTTGTATCCCTGAAATATTATAGTAGAAGATGAAGGCTGGACTTAAAAAAATCTCCAACACTTCTCCATCACTACATATGATATACTTTTCCAGAGAAACCAACACAGATGCAGCCCACGTACCCAAGATCTCTATTTCCAACTTCGAGCAGGTTCGCAGTAGGGGTGCGCTCAAGTCTGAACCCGTTAACTTTGTTGGTCAGATTGTTTCTGACCTAGTTATAAACTGAAAGGACACCACTGTACATATATATCATCACTGCTGGAGTCCTGGATCCAGTTTATTTTGTGGTGCCTTGGTTTTGACCTGGTAAACCTTCTTCAATTGTCTCTCGTTTCCTGCAGCAGTTAAAGTCTGTTGTTGGTTATAAAACATGACATCATTTCCTTCAGCAGGTCTACCAATCCATTTAGGAGGTGGTAATGGAAGTGGACCCACGTTTTGCGCAAGTTGCTGATGTGGGTTTCGTATTTGACCTGAATTTGGTCGCCTGGTTCCGACACCATCTTCTATAGTCAAATTATGGATGTCATTTTTCAAGTTATGATATTGTTCCTGACTTGGTTGCATCTTGAAATTTGCCCTGTTTTGTACATTGTTGGATAGACCATATCTAGCACCTTCCATCAGTCCTCGAGGATTGAACTGTCCATGTAAAAAATTTGGATCATCCCAATAACCTCTTCCTTCCACATTTCGACCAGCTCCCCCATCATACCCAGATTGACCAGGTATTCTAGACTTATTTTGTGGATGGTTTGAAGAATTATGATAAGATGTTCCATCGGAAAAGCCCCTTTCATAGCCAGGCGGTCCAGCTGGCCTTGGTCTGTTCGCTACATGGTTGCCATGCGCATTGCGATAAGCCGCCTGCTCTGAAATTCTGTAGTCTGTGTGATTTGATTTAATGTTCAGTGTGTTATGAACCAGACGATAAGCAGCTCCTCCCAATGTAGGACCAGATATTGCCCCTGATACTTGTGGCCTGTGAAATAGAAGCAACCACCGAAGTGCTATAATCCCATTGTAGCATAATAAATGACCATCACATTTTCCAAGCAAGGTAACAATTTTCTATTACTAATTTCAGAGCTTAGTGTAAACCTACAATGCCCCAGAATTTTCAATATGCTGTAATCTGAATATTAAATTCCAAAAATGGTGAGTCCACAATATCTGTGTAAATTCTAATACCTTTCTCGGCCTAGCATACCCCTGCCACCATTGTCTTCGTGCCATAGTATAGGGAATGGTTTTATGTCAGTAGGTCTCACAACCTGCAGGTAAAATATAACGGACTACATCAGAGTAAAGCTAAAGAAACTTTATTGTATACAATTCAAAGAAAACCAAAATCACCACTAGCAGAAAATGTAACATAAAATAATTTCTTAACAACCCCCCCCCCCCCCCCCCCCACCCCCAAACACTGATACACTATCTTGAGGAACTAAAAGATTAGATGCTACACTAACTTCCACCTTATCTTTTTCTGTAGGCAGCTGGGGATAGTGTAAACTTACAGAACTTGATTATCCATAATGTCTTCCAATTCATTGATTGGGGAAGGAACTACTTGTTTCAACCCATTCCGCTTTGTCAAACAAATAAATCCATTCATTCCACCACTGGCAAAGTTGAAAAGCAAAGAAGAGATCATGCACCAAATGCAAGCAGACAATTAATTACCATTGTTAAAAACTGAAATTTTGCTAGATTGACTGAATAAACCAACCTGGCATTCGTATCTATTCTCCATGGTAATTTCTCTATGTCAGAAAGACGATAGCACCAGGTAATTTGGGCAGCCAAAGGATGAAGAGGATGGACATATAGTAAATCAAACATCACGCTATTCCGAAATTGTTCTTCCTCCTACAAACAAAAATGTGAATTGCCAAGGCTTTTCTTCTGCTCCCTTTTCTCAAATAAAGAACTTACTGATCATGCAGCAAACTAGTGTAAAGTCCCTGTACATCAAGATGACATCTTGATGTAACTTAGGCATGATTTTGTTCAGCATCTTGTAGCAGTTTAAGCTGTATAAAATATGGACTAAAAATATTCCACCTTTAACTCTTGCGGTTTCAAATATAAGAAAAGTATTAACCATCATCTAAGTAATCCCAAACAAAACAGCCTCAGATTGACAGCGAAGGTTTTCAATATACGGAGTATGAGAAGGAAAAAGGGAAAGATACGACCCAAATATTGCAGAATACAATGATTCCCAACACAGAAGGAAAAGAACAGGTTTTATAACATCTTTTACTTTCTAGTGTTTGTAAACAGTAGAACACTTTTGCAGAAATCATTCTTTGAGTAATAGCAGTCTTTTTGTAAGCTTTGTTATAAATTTGATATAAAGTTTACAGTAGCAGTTCTCTCAGAGCGGCGGCACATTCTGTAAAAGCAAGTTTCTTCTTATTCTGAGGCATTTACATTTTGCGTATCTTGCTAGCTCCTTTAAAAGACCCAAGTTGGCGTAGATATAACGGTGATGTATTTCTGCTTAAAATGGTTTTTTTTTTTTTTTTTAATAGGTAATCAAATATTTTATTAATCATGGAGAGTATTATCAATTAATACAAGACAAAAACGACATGAAATTGGTCAAACCCATCTACATAAGTATTAGCCACGACATTAAACCAAGTATACAATGTCAAATAAAACAATTCTTTAATCTGCTTTGTTGTCCGTGTATGATCATCAAAACAGCAGCTATTGCTCTCCCTCTACACACATCAGATGATGTATCCTGGGATAAGGTCCCAAACAATCTTGCTATCTTTATTACAAAATCTTCTCCTCCATACCTTCAATACATCCTCCACACGCTATGAAAACATCCAATCCATATGT